TCTGGAATATGATCTTCGGTCAACTGACGGATTATGCTTCCTATCGCGGATTTCCACATCAGCTGTAGCCGAATCATCAACGGTGGATTACAAGGTAGTGAATTGATCGACGGCGATCTGAAACAGAATCACAGCTGCTGTGGCTGCCGGACAAGTGGCGGCCCAAGTCACCGCTGTGTCGGTCGGTCGGTCGATCCTCCCGTCCGTCCGCCGCTTGGCTGGTCAGACGGACAGGCAGCTACCGGACTCGGAGCAACTCACGACCTCGTCAACGCTGACAGCTCCATGTCAAGAATAACACGGCGGCCCGCGACCGACGAACTTCAGTTCTCTCCTATCTCAGTCAGTCGGCTCGGTCGGAGCGATTCGCGATTGAAGTACACACACGCGCTCACCGAGGACTAACCCACCGCCACTGCTTCGCGCGTTCATCACCGCGATCAGTGCAGCCATCGGCCACCGTCGCGCCATGTTTCGATATTGATACAGTAAGCGAGGAAAGTTTTAAAGCAGCCCACACCGTTCTGGATTGTGGTCGAGAATCGGAGCTTAAGTGGAAGGAGATCAGAGCCTTCGGACGAGAGGAAAAGCTTTGTCACGTATTGTGCATGACGTCAATGGTAGCGTCTGCGGAAACCTATGAGGCTGAATCAACACCTTGCGTGCGCTGCTCCCGAGCAACTTCCACGTCGAGGTATGCTCCTCTTCACAGCCCGAAATTTCTAACTTACGGAATTTCGGCCCCGGATCCTACCATGCTCTCCCGATCCTCTCACTTCGCGACACGTCGAGCTCGATATCGAAAACACCTCGGGCAGCTCAACTCCCACCTTTACTCGAGGTTCCAGGTAGTGAAGTTTCGCTCGCGAGAGCAATACTTGGCGATCCTATCCAGGTATTCAAATTTCAACGAGAGCATCTACCTTCTCTTTCCGAATCCACTGGATCCGTACGAATATCCAACGATGGAGGTGGACGACACAACCTTGAATCAATCCTGCCTGGATCCGATTCTCTCTGGAACCACTTTCACTGAGCACTTCGTTGAGGAATGCTAGATGAGCACTTTTATTTCCTTTCACTTAGATGAACTTCGAGTGTGTACAATCTCCACAATGGGCGTATCTCTCGATACGGCCAAGTAGAAATTGGAAACACAGTCAACCCGTAGGTGGATATAAGCGACTAGCGAAAATTCCGTTCTGCCGATAGCTCGCCGCAGACATCAACTGCCGGCTGGAACAGCGCCTCTGTTCGCCGAGGGGAGAGAAGAGAAAAGAACTTACACGCTAGCAGATGGCCGCTACGCAAGTTGAAAATAGAAGTTGTGGGAGTTGCTGATGGTCACAGGTCGTGTTTGATCAGCGAACAGACCCTCGAATTGGGTCAGCGGAAACAACTGACCCACTCGAATGATAAGCAAACTATTCTACCGGTGTGAGCCGACGATTATGCTCCATCCAAACCCTGTTCCGAGGCATCGGTCAATTAAAACATCCCCAGCCGACAAATTATCGAGAAAAAAAACTAACGAAATTCAGATTCGTGCGTCGACGAAAAAAAGGGAATCGCTCAGACAAACGATCTCGGGATCGATTCGGGTCGGGATTCAATATCGAGCGTTCCTGAGGAACGAAGCGACGGAGAAAACGATACCAATAAATGCCGTGGACCAAGAACTCCGTTCGAAAGAGGAACAGCTCAGTTCTTGAAGGAACAACGCACAATGCCGCGACCGAGTTCCTATGCCCAGAATATTCAGCCTCGACTTCTGTCCGGTTATGTACGGAACTTTCCCCTTGAAACAATCACCAGATAAAAATATCGCTTCTTTCGTTTCCTAGCCACCGTTGAACTTCACGACGTTGGACGCACTCAAAATTATTGCAAAGACCTCGGACGTACGCATTCAACTTCCGTTATGTCGTTCGATAAGGGAGAGACGACTCATCAGACACCCGATTGTCTTCGATTTTCTCTGCCCAACACAGCCGAACAAACGAGAGGATTCGTCGTGCTTGTTCTCTCGTTTCCCACGGAGGCGGGGGGAGCGAAAAACGCAAAATACGATGAGCTCGATATCGGAGGGATGAGCAAAAGCGTTCGGGGAAGCTGCAGCTCCGACGTCGGCTCTCATCATTCCGAAAGCATCATGCGGCGACCGGCGACCTCAAAAGAATCTGAATTTGATGTTTTTTTGTAACTTGCTGAATGTTAGCGGTAACCCACTTAAGGAAGCGCTTTCTTCTTCCAGAATATAACGTTGAGGGAAACTCTCCAACCGTGTGCCGATCCGAGCGACGACAAGGCAGACAGTCGAGAAGTCAGCTGAAAGGCATTCGGGCAAGCGCACCAGAGCCAAGAGCGCTCACCTTACCATAGACATGGCAAGTTTTCAGCGCAACGGAAAGCAGCGCCGGCGCCATCTGGTGCCGGCACTTGGCACTCGGAGCAAATAGGGTGTGGCGGAAATATTCGTTTCAGAGTTTGGTTATAATGGTTCTGACGTATTTACGCTCGAATTACCACAGTCGTAGGATTCGACGCGGTAAACACATATCGACAGCAAGAGATCATCTGACGGGACAATGACGCGAGCCGGAAGAGACTGAACGGATGCGCTCTCGAAGTCAACACCTACTGACTAGGCCTCGGTGAGCTCCCGAACAAATTCGTTCGATCAGATTGTTTGCCGGACGTAGCCGATTGGGTCGTCTTGAATGACTATCGGGAATCTAACATCTCCCGCTTCGGATCGCGCACTTTCCACTTCGTCAAGCTTGCGACGGCTGCTCGAAAACAGAAACTCAAGGAATTCAGTGAACTTCCGGGAGAAGATCAGCCATCGACAGTTTGCGGGAGATTCCTGGCGGGCCGAGAGAATCAGTATCTGCTCCACAACCGCTGCGTATTCTCTAGGGGCGTGCATACTGAGACTCTCCGAATAGGGAGCTCAACGCAGCGAGTAGACGATGAAAAAGCAAAATTCCCCTCCTCCGCCCTGTTGATGATGCGAGCGTCCCAACAGCAAGGACCAGTCGAAAGCGGAGGAAGTTTTCCTCACAATATATATCGAGCGCTCGAACAGGGCTTTCTCACGAACTCAGTGAACCGTCGCTCTTTTCTCCAGGATGTGAACCACCCACATGCGCTCTCCCGATTACGACGTGGAGCTAGAATACCATTAGGGTGGACGAATCGGGATGAAATAGCCAACAGGTCGAGATCCGGAGCTCAGTCGGCTCATCGGGTTGAGGCCACGGAAACTCCATTCATCGTACTGTATGGATTCCTCGCCATCTCGCAGAGCTTTTTAAATGACCAGCTGCGGGGAACAAGCTCGCGACTGTACCGGGCGAGAGGGAGAATCCGTCACAGGTTGGTAAGGTGAAATATTCACTCGGACCATCTTGATGTCTACCTTGGTGACCCCGAGCGTGCTGGCCGGCTTGGGTAGTAATGTCGCGGCCCCTTGCCATCCCACTCCTTCAATGGCTACCCTGCAGACCCCGCTATTCGCGCACCCTTATGCCGCCTGGCAGGTTGACTATCTGACAGACTGACGGACGGACCGGCTGGCTGGCTTGTAACTCACCTCATATTACAAATGGCTCGAGTGTTCTCCCGAATCGCCTCGACTCGACAGTTGGCATTGTCATTATTGGACCGCACCGCGGACTTTGTGAGGCTTCTTAGGTGATTAGACGCTTGAGTCAATAGCAATAATTGGTAGGCTCCACTACTTCGGAACACTCGCTGCCCCCTGATCGAGACGAGTTCTCTCCATTCAGGGGGTATCTCAGATTGCGGGATCGATCTGATTCTCATCTGTTGGAAAATTCTCGAAATTTCCCCTCTATCATAGGCGCTCGAAAATATCGTTCCAGCGCGGCCCGCAGATAGGGAAATTGGACTCCGCGTATGCGGAACATGTCGTCAATCCATACATCTCGGAGACGAATCACTCTCAAGGGAATGGGGAATCGGAGTTGATTCGATGAAAATAAATGATGAGCTTCGCGCAGCCCATGAATCCGCTCCATCGTGACTTCGTACGAGGCGAGGGGTATGCACGCGACCACGGCCCAGGTCACGGAAAGCTCGATAAACATCGCAGTGTAAACACAATGCAGTTCATTGATACGACATGTGGAGTCTCTGTCGCTAGCGCGAGCCCAAAGCCTGGGGACACCGTAGGCGTCGTGCTCATTGTCAGAATAGAATGTCGGTGCCCTCGGAGCAGGATTTTCTTCGGAGGGCTTGCGGACTGCCAATGTCGGAAACACCGATAGGGCTGCTTTTCGAATAGGCAGTTCCGATTCAGTGCTCGCTTCATATGAAGTTGAGGAAGGAGGAAGTTGCTGATCAGATAGCGACAGCGGAACATCGAAGTGCTCGATTCGGACTTTCATCATGAGCTACCGGAGACAGTGGTTCTCGCCGTAAATTTATACCTCGATGACTAGATCGCCCGACAGAAATTTCGACCTCGGATCGGCTCGATTCCTGGACAGGGGGAAAAGCGATCAGGATAGAAACAGGACCAAGAGATATTCTGCTCGAATAATTGAGCGTCATTAAAAGCTTCGGATGAACTCCCAGAGATGAGGAAAGCGTCGACATCGGTACGGTGCCACCTGAGCAACCAAGTTTGAGTCACTGATCCTACGCTTCCAACTTCCTTCCTCTGGACTATCCGCCCCTCTTCCCCAAGCGACTTGCGTACATACTGATGGGAAGTTAAAATAGTGGACTCAGGCGATGAAAGCCTTTTGGGTGTGTTTTCGAATCACCGCGTAGTTAGGTTTTGAAGAAAAATCTCTATAAACAAGGGTGGAGACATCATGTGCGAATCAGCACACGGCTCGAATTTTACCGGAGGATGAACGAGGCAATCGATCATCCACACGGAGAGCTCGCTCTCGGTCGCGGATGAGTCAGACATTTGTTTAGCTCCACCTGAAGTTAGAGACTGCAGCGGGAAATGCAGTCGAACTCACCTTTTGGTTTTCCAGTTTGGTTTTCAGGTCGTGTAGGGTCCAGTATGATGGCACAGATTTTGGCGTCGGGAGTCTCGTTTCCATGTCACGTAGCCAACGACGTAGTGCTCGCATGTCGAACTTAACATCTGCAAATCAATCCGCGGAGTGATGAGAATTTGATTTCATGAAAATCCAACTACCCTCTCCGATCGTGAGACATCGAGGTATGAGCTCGCTGATGATTGTACATGCGAGGATAATTCTTCGAGTTTTCTACCGAAATCGGGACCAATGTGCCTCTGGCGAATCCGCGATGTAGAATTCGAGAACTTATCGCGGAAAAATACAGGGGACTCAGCGGGACTGCATTCCGATGCGAAACACCTCGAGGCAAAATACTGTCTGGCGTCAGGCATGGTGGATATGGTTCCAAATTATTATGTGCTGTATTGAGTATCCCGGTGACGTTGTTTCACAATTGATTCCTAGGAATGATTATCCCCGATCACCACACACTCGATGACAGGCTCATAAAATGACGCGCGAGAAGCTCCTCCAACTTCGAACCGAGTTTCCAAAATCATCCGCACCGGCGAATCTTCGAGGTAATGACTTGACCAAGAGGTTCATGACTTGTTCTCTTCATGAACGGTATTTGAGCGCAATGATTATAAAAAGGGAGGTCTCCGGTGAGAATTACACGAGCTGGCTCATTTGAAGTCGTCGAGAGTCTCACCATGGAAAATCTTGTCGTTGTCAATGGCGTCGTGGCGAACTCGAGTCGAATCCTCAGCCTTCTTCCACCGGGCTGTCAGCTGATTCGATAGAGAAATCACTTCGGATCTGAAGTCCTCCAGGATCGACGAAGACATCACTTCAACGTCACGTAACAACCGTTCTTTGCTCTCGTTGAAAGTCTCCAGGTCGTTCCGGAAGCTCTGCAGAATGAGAAAAGCGAAATTAAACTTCTTGCAAGTGCAGGCAGCTGATAAGGGTGATCGTAGCTCCATTTCGAACTCATTGCGAAATTTCCCCGTCGTCGAACTTGAACGGTGAACCAGATCGTGCGAAAGCCAGGAAGGGGTATTCAATTATCGAGCAAGAAATTCAGCCCGCTTCGATACGCCATCATTTAATTGAGGGCTTCCGATCCAAAGTGAAGAATGCGTGCTGCGAATTCCCTGGGACACGGAGATCAAGAAACGGAGGGCGCGCGATTCTCAGTGATGTCGAGCGGATTCCTCGGTACAAGCTCTATCTGAGTTATGCTTGGCTAAATTTTTCATGGGTCAGTTATCCGTATAAGCATCCAGTTCCTCAAGCCGCAGATTTCAGTCAAGGTCACTCCAACAGGACTGCTTCAATGCCTTGGCGGCCGCTGCGGTTGCCAAGGCAGAAGAGCATTTACCGCCGTGCGAACTGTCGACGTAGCCTGTCGCGTATCTCCCGTAACGCCGTCGCGTCGCCGACGGCGCGGCCCGACCAAACGTGACAGTTTATTCTAGCGAGATCAGAATTTCACTCGACAGCACCGAGCGCAGCATCAAGCGCGATCTACGAAAGAGTGCCGAGGAGCCGTCCCGAGATAAAAATTATTGTTGATGGAAAATAATCTTACTCTAGCCATCGATCCTCGGCGGTCGATGTTGGTTTCGCCATCGATTCTGGCCTCCATTTCTTGGAGCCACAGAAGAACTTCCTCGAGCTTTTGCACGAGTCCTTTGGCAGTGAGGGTCACGGCACTTTGTTGAACGAAAGGTGGCAGTGGTGTAGAGAGAGACGGCAACGATGAGTCCAAGGAGGACATACCTTCATCTGGACACAGAGAGAGTTCGTAGTCTGCTTCCTGGAATACACAGAGAGAGGACACCTTGAAAATTCATCACCGGATTCTTCCAATTAGGAGAGGATTAGGAGAGACGGGGAAATCATGCCGGGCCGCTCCCAGCAAATTCGTCCCCGAGACTGTCCAACGGATTCCTTGCCCTGCCAAGACAGCAACACATTTCGTACAATAGAGCGTATCGAACGCTGAGTTTCATCGCATAATCTCCACGAGAATTGCGGCGCGAAAACCTCCTGAACTCACACATGGTACGGAACGAACGAACGAACTGATAGATAGCCAGAAAGGCCGCTTTTCTGAGGTCCGGCGAGAAAGCGTCAACTTTCCACCGAGGAACCGTGGTGGTATGTGGTATCGCTGTGCTATGTATTCGACCCCGATGTAAATAAACCAACGGCGCCGACCAAGCGGCGGCCGCAACGCTGCCAGTTTACCGTGAGGCAGGAGCAGACGCTCACGAACGGCGAAAGTAAGGCTCCTTCAAGCCAGCTGCCGCGTTCTACCTTCGCAGAGCACTGCCAGGCAGCCTTCTACTACAAGAGCGATCACGAGGTGCCACCGGGGTTCCCTTTGCGGGAGCCTCACAATCAGAAAATCATAACATTAGCAGCCTCGCATCGTGCATATCCGTCCAATAATGAATCTCGAGATGACCTCTCAGAACTGGAGCACCTACTCAGGATCAGGCTTACCCTGCAGCTGGTTATCAGCTGATCGTCCATAAGGTAGTCGTAGTGGTTAGAGAGTGCATCCCAGAAGTCATCCCTTTTCGGCATCCGCCTCTGCTGCGGACGGAGCGAGGGATGACCATCTGTAGGTGAGGGAGGTGTCGAGGTGCTCCACAAAGACGACATCGTGAATGATAGTTCCTCGACGCTGGCGATTACGTAGACTGCAGAGAGCGAAATTGTTGGGTGAAGCGATGATTCCTCTAAATTAGCCGTCGACCGATACCGGTCGTGAAAGAAGGATGTACTTCAAGTATTATCCGATATGATCGGATCGGACTAATCGAGATTCGATCGTAGGACTCACCAATCGGCAAACGAGGGGATCCTTCGTGTAATTGGCGAGAATCTCGGAAGATGACACGCGATCCATAGCAGAACTATGGATGCAGATCTGGGAAAATACAACATCAGCATGATGAGATTGTTTTAGATGATATGAGGGGGATACATGAGGATCTAGGCATGCCACGACATTTAATTCCCACATTTTTCCCGTCGTTCTGACGGTCTTCGAAAATCACCTTCCAGTTCAGCATGGCACATCACTTATTTTATAGCTGCCTGATATGGAGCTCGGAGAACCTCCATGATCGTGAGTCTCCTCCCGGGGAGATGAACTTCATGCCTGGAAATAACACAGCCCGTTAGGCGAGAGCGAAGGGTGTTTATTCATCGCTGAGCACATGCGAGACCTGGCGCCTAGCGGACTCCGGAACACATTTAAGGCTCGAGAGAAGTACAGGCTCTAACGGCAAACTTTATATGATCTCGCTTCTCCTTTCTCTCAAAGCCTAAACACGGCTCGAACGAAGCTCATTCTCTGCGTTTTTGACGGATCACCGTGATAGCGAAAACCAATTTATCCGAACGGAGTTTCTCTCGGGAGAATTCCGTATACGGGAGGGAAATATATAACGAGGTCAATGTGGAGCTCGGTGGGAAGTCGTGTCCCAGGAAAACATGGGAAATATTGTGACGAGACTGATATTCCAATCCTTAGGAGTGTAAGTGAGTTCCATCCGATATATTCATCGGTGCGCTTTCGGAATCATTCGGAATGTCGCGAACGGATTAAGACTTCTGCTGTGAACAGGAGTCGGTTCGAGAGAAACTCGTTTGCTTCACTTGTTCTCACAGCGATTTGTTCCCGCGAGAGAACGTCGTCAGATTCCCATCTAAGGTAATGATCGTTATGACGGATTAAAAAAGCGATCAGAGCAGTATACACGACGAATCGACCGGCTTCGGGGTCGTAAGGAGTGGAAAAGACTGAGCCGTTGGTCGAGCTGCCTCTTCCATTCCGTGGAAGACTGCATTCGAGTGAGGATTTCTTTCGTAATTTTTTCTGATTTTCATTGACCTATTGCGATAAATGAAGTTCGTGATTTAGTATTGTTCATGCTCAGTACTCAGTCAAGTCGATAACCTTTGTTTCTGGCACAACTGACATGGGAAGTGTCGGTCCGAGAGAGAGGACTCCCGTCGGCATCTCAAACAGCTGATTGAGGCGCAGGCGAGCTAAAGTCTTATCGAAGCCTGAATCAATCATAAAATTCCCTTAAGACCAAGACCATGCCATCTTCGGAAACGTGAGAGCTAAGCGCTTCGACTAGCTTTCAGGAGAAGAATGCTCAATATGTTTCGGTCGTGATTTTACCCCCCTCGAATGATCATAGCGAAATGAAGTCGCGCCTGGTACGCCAGCGCTGCCGTATGGATGCGTCGAGTCCCGAAGACGCGGGATATTTTTAGAAAGACCTCAGGATTGAAAAACTTCTGTGAGTCTCAGTCAACAAGCTGGGAGCTTGAAAGTACATGAATAATGAGTGTACCGATGTGTTTTTTATTCGAGGGGAAGAGGCGAAGCTTCGTGAAAGATGTCCGTGTCACGTGCCGATCCGAGAGTTTTAGGAGAAGAATATAACTCAAGGAGGCAATGCGGAATTTCATCCGTCACCATGGATGTTTTTGCTCAACAAGCGCGCATTGTCAAAGGATTGGCAAAGCTCTGCGGCGAAACATCCGACACGCTTCAGCTCGAGAACCTGCGCGCGGATACTTATTATGACTTTTGACAGATCGTCGTCGAAAGATGACAGGGTCGAAGGTCCACAAAACAATCTCAATCATGCAAATGATTTGAGATATACACAGCGCGTATAACTGATTCGTGTGTTTGCTCAAGCCGTTCGACGAAACTTGCCTCCGGTTGGGAAGAATGATATTTTTCAGAGGCGCATCCCGGGCGCGGAAAGGCGGTTGTTATCCTAATACATATTCACAGTCGTTGTTCTGCGGATCGCAGGCTCAGGCTCGAAACAAGCGTGGCAAGGACTCCGACCCTTCCTGATCTATATGCCGTCCATAGAACGGTCGCTTAGCATGAGAGATCACGGACCCACTTAGACAGACGGTCCGGGGTGGCGAGGCGTGCGACCTCAAGACTTAGAATCCATCCCATCTCCTCTCATCCGGAGTTCCAGAGGTCTCACTCAGGACCGATCTTGAGGGCGATAGAAAACAAATTTCTTCCCCAGGGCTCCTGGAGGAGAGCGTCGCCGTCATCATCACGCAGACGCCTCCTCCGCTCGCGAGGTGTTTCTCGTGGAGCCCTGACTTGTAACAAGCTCGAGTCTCGCTCCAAGCTGCTCTGCCGGTCCACTGTGCGCGAATTACTCCGACGGTTGTCTTGATCTCGCTAGAGGACAAGTCTTACTTAGGAGGACAAATTCCAGTGAGACTCGGCTATGAGAATGTTCGCGAAATCCTCCACAACATGGAGGAATCTCAGGCGGACGGGGTCCCGATGCTGTGACATATCACTGAATCAGCGCCCTAGCTCCTGAGCAGCCCGCGGGCAACGTCATGTGCAGCTCCGCATATCCCGAGGATGGGGGGGGGATCCGAGCTCCTTGCGGAGGTGAAGGATTGAGAGCCAGATCGGAACGAAAATCCGGAAGGTTGTTATTATGTACTTCGGAATGTTCCAGTCAGACAGTCCATTCCAACGAGAATCCCTGCGCGGGGCAATGAACACGATCTATCCCGTTCGCTACAATCTTTCCGGAGAGGTCAACCGATGTGAAAAAAGAGTATGTATATGCGGGAATAATCACCCTGAGAACAACAATATGCTTTTGTTCCAAGCTGACTAAGTTGTTCAATCGTAAAATAACTGACGGGAAATCCGCCTATCAGCTGCATGTTCCATAGGCGCCGCGGTAGACACCACAGTGCCCATTCCTGCTCCCACGATTGAGCCGCTTCTAATGGACAAGTGTTGTCTTCACACGTGGACAAATATGTACGAGAATCGAATTGCTTCATCCCCACAACCAGCACCATCATCATCGATAACAACAGGAGAGCTTGTTCCACTGACCACAGTGCATTTGTTTATCGTACATTCGGCCGTTCCCAAAAACCTGGTCACATTCATTTCGAAATGGATGAGCATCCATTGATGATACAGTCACTGTTCGAGTGGCTGCCGAATCGGATGTTTGTCTTACTATCGCTAGTGAGATGAACGGAATCGCACTGAGAAGACATAGGCCGAGTCGACTATAATCAGAAAAAGGATGTCAGCCTGTGCTCGAACCATTAGATGAGCGTACACGGACGAAACTCGCCTGACTTGAAATGACATGTTACAATCGTCCGCTTGAATCTTCTCATCCCTTCGATCAGAAAGCCCAGATCTGACCCGAAAGGGAAACTCTCGGCGGAGCGCCCTGCCATAAATCGATCGATCAAGCGAGCGAGCCGGCGATCGACTTTCACCTTCACTACCTCTGCGTGGCTCAATACAAGTCTCGCGGAGACGGGAAAGCTCCGACGGAAATGAGGGTTTTTCAGAAGGTGACGTCCGGATCGAGCTTGCCCGTTGAACCTTGGAGAAATACGCATTGTCGAGGTAGGGTCCGCGGAACGTCGTTGACAATATCCATGCCTGACCGCTGCGTCCGTCCCGACTCTTGTGGTCACAGTTTCCTCGGTCTTCCTTACAAGACCAAGGATGTTTCGTACTGCTTTCATAACATCACCTTGACATAGTGATTCTCTGATTCGCGCCGTATCGAGATCTGGAGCGCGGGTGGTGGTTTGCGGGGGAGCAAATACTAAACGTCGACCGAATTAGTTCAGAAATTGCTCTTAAATTGTTTTAGAAGCTATACCGGCTCGAAAATGTTTTCGTAGAATTTCCTAAGCGATGCACGTGAAAGTCTTTTGTACAAATAAAGCGCCACCGTGATCGCTCGCTGCCTCCACAACGAAATTCTCGACGGAATACGTGAGTGGAACGCTTTCCGATTTGATTTCGCAATCGAACGGAGAACGAATCGAAAGAAATCCGTGAAGTTGTTTAAGGAAGAATGTACGAAAATCTTGAATTTAGTATGGTCTTCCGATGCCGATTACGCGCTCTTTGCCTCGTCTCTATTCGATGACCGATGAGCTGCAATAATTATTGACGTCGTTTGTAAGCTCATTGATAGGGAACTTCGAAGTCCTGTTTCCGTCCAATCGAACCGTTTCGCTCGTCGGACTTCGGTATTCGCATCTCCTTGATCGGGACCGGACGGGATCCTCAGACGGGCTTCCTGCAGAGCTCGACGAAAATCGAGCCTGTCAGATTCCAGCCAGGTCTATCCCCCCTTCGTGCGAACATAAATGAGGTTCCGATCCGGATAAGTAGAAGACGATGCTCCGAAGCACCCGCGGCGCGACCAAAAAGACAGATAGATCGCAAGTCAGGAATTCCAGAGAAAACACAACCTAGTTCTCGACCATCAAGATTCGAGAATTCCATGTATGACTTCTCACTCTCTTCTCGCGTCAATTGGACGAGAAACGGTGTTTCACTTGCAGCTACAAAAGGCCACCGTTGTCCAATCCGACCGCTAAGCCGCGAGAGTCTTTGATGGATTCCATAAAACGCTGCTGGCTTCCACGGCTTCGGCAAGAGCAGAAGTGGTCGTCTTTTTGAAAGGAAAAGCCCTCCTTTACGAAGTTTGCGAGAAAATTCCTTGTCGTCTACGAGAAGCGGAATTTCTGTTCTTATCGACGAAGAAACGGGATTTTCACCGATCGTAAAGTGTATCTCTGGAGCCACAGCCAGAATTCCCGTGCCAATCGCATGGCACTCTCGAACGACGTCCTCCATAAGGAAACGCCTCGTCGGTGCCGGGAAGAGAACCCTCCGGGAGTGCGGTAGGGGAATCTCGGCATTCAGTTGCTCTCGACGGGAGCTTGCGCATTATACTCCAGCTTGTCAAACGCAGGATTACCGAGACTCAGAGGGCTCCCGATTCGATCGTTTACATTCCGTGAGACCTTGAGCTCATTCCGCTCGGAGATGATCGATCCACTACAGGTTGTCCAACATCCGAACGTCGATTCCTATCTCTGTCCACGGTCATCCCCGAACAATTTGGTCATTGAGAGTCTCGCTGGACCCAATATTATTGTACAATCTGCGATAAACGCCGGCAAACTTCCACGTTCGAGGGAATGGCATCCTTCGATCTTCAGAGGTCCTTATCGGTGTGTCTGGGAGGGCACGTATGTATACACGACTACGATACGTGCACGTTCCCGCAGCGAGCGATGTTTACGTTTGAATCAGAGGAAGGCCCCTAGATATTCCCTCCCTGTTTGTGGACGGCAGAATTATTCGATCGTGAGCTCAGTCCCCAAAATCAGATCCATCCGGTCCAACCGCGAATAACCGAGTTCAATTCGGAGAATGCAAGATTGTGCGTCGGAGAATTACGTGCAAGGATCTGTTGTTCAGATAGATCACCGGAGCCTCGGCGGACGTGTCCGAATCAAGGTACCTGACAGTGAAGGTACATATGCCGAAGCGCGCTTCGACCGATCGAGTCTGGTGGTGGACGGAAGGTACATCAGTGAGATCATCCCGGGAATTCAAGTCAACTGCCTGCTCAGACTTGACGAGGATGACGGACTCAGAGCTCTGAAGGTAAACATCGACGTCGTCGGACCACATACTGTAGGATACTTTTCAACCTGCCGGTTGTGATTGGAAGGATTCCCAGCCCCCGGGAGGAGTCCATAGTCACTTTATGCCGGCACCGAAATTCGGAGCCGAGATGAGCAGAACTTAAGCTCATGGATACGACTCTTTCAGATGGTTCCGTTAGAGCACATGATCTACGAGGGCTTCATCTCGGATATCAAACGTCTGGAGGGACTCGCCGAAGTAACCATTGCGGACTTGAGCACACCGATAGTTTTCTGTCGCTCCCATTTGGACGATCACGACGACTTTCGGAGACTACGGACCGGAGACCGAGTTCGGATAGAGATCGGATTCAACAACTTCATTTCCAAACGGAAACCGCCGCGCCCGAACCGCGTCGCTCTCCTAGATGAATCCGGTGACCCGGATCACATGCGACTCCGACCCGCCCTACGCCGATCCAGTAGTTTCAGCCGGCGGTCCACGAGTGCGGACCGCGAATATCGCGACAATCCGGGCCGACGGAGGTGCCCGAGTGAAAGCGATGTCTATCACGAAGATCATTGCCGGATACCTTCCGCTGGGGATAACTACGAACCGTATCATCCGAGAAATCCCACGCCCGCTTGGGGTAGACCGAATTCACCTTTGTTGCCATTTTTCCCGGTGATGCCTTGCGGCCGATCGCCGATCATGCCCCAATCGGCCGCATGGATGCCTCGGCCGCGATGCATGGCCATGTCGTCGGGAGCCCAGGGGTTCCCGCCTCAACCTAGGGGACTGTTGCCTCCCGCTATCGCCGGACTCCATCGAGCGTCCCCCGGGATGCTGCTTCCCCAAACGTTCCACAATCAATCGGCCCACCCCTCATCGAGACTGTACCCGCATCCGCATGCCATGTTTCCCTCACAAAGTTCAGTGTCGATGTCGGACTCTGGCTTTGAGCACGAAATGACGAGATCCGCTTCTGGCATGTCGTACTTCGATGATTCGCACGATATCAGATTGGGGGATCTGGATGACTCGCAGGTCCTCCTCGAGATGACCGTCGATCAACTGAGGAATTTAATGCTCGAGGGCTCTTGTAAAAACATCCACAACCATGATTAAAATTTGAATTCATATCCCGATCACGAAGTCGATCTTAAACTCCAGACTCGGCGACATGCCCGGGGTTTTTAGATCTACGTAGGACATAGGTGAAAAGTGTCTCGTACCACCTCAGGATCGCCGGAGGCACAGGTCTTTTCGAGTCGCTCAGAGATCTGCAGGGTGGCTCAGTCCATTACTGAATGGTATGACCAGCAAGCATCTGGACTCCTGCCATATGGTATGCACCGGATATGGTGTCAGCTTCCCCAGCCTGACAAACTGATATGTACCTATGTGGATGAAGATGTGTTCGTGTGAGCTCTCCGTCAGGCAGACACCCCTGGGTTCCACTAAGCAGCTACCAACAGGGATATCAGTTGACAGTTGTCAGCACTAACCGGATCACAATGCCGCGCCGTTGCCGATTTGCGAAACATGCAGAAGCGTGTGACGCGATTTTGCAAATATCGGTAACCGGTTCATCTCGCATCCATTTGAACTCGCCAGGATGCACTGCTTCGGATCGCTGTCAGTCATCCGAGCGAACAGTATTTCTTACGATAAACTAACTCGAGTTCCCGCAGACACATCCAGGTCATGAGGGTCCATCGCTGCGGGCTTCGTTCGGGTCGCGAAGTCCGGATGTGGGGGCAATCCGTTCTTCGGCGACCACATCCCATCCGTGGTGACCGAACTCCGGATGGTGCGAAATCCGATTCCAAAACCATGTTTTCCCAATCTCAGTTAGTCCACGAGCTGCGAATGATCCACGGCATAGCTTTGAGAAAGAAAATAAATATCTGTGTAGTCTACACATGATCTGGTTGGGATGAGCCGGAGCCACTCGATCCGTTCCAGACAACTCGCCCGCTAAATTCGAGTCGGAGGAAGAGCGAGAAAAAAAAACATCACGTTCGGCGTGTCCTCTTTCCGGGGCCGGAGGGGAATATTGGAAAAAAAATGAAATGGCTCGCAGCTCACCAGATCAGGTCCGACTTGGGTTTTTTCTCAGCAGGGAACCGAATGGGTACGTTCGGTGAGGGAATAATCGATAGGAGAACGGCGCCATCGGTTTCATTCTCCACACGGAAGCTCGAAACCGCGAAGAGCCCGAAACGGGTGTGGAAAGCGCGACGGTCAACCCAATGATTGGAATTGAACCGAATAAAGAAAGAGCGCGTCGCGTGACAGCTCGAGTCTGCTCACGGACGAGCTCATTAGGAACGATACTCATGCGATAGTCGGTCGGTCCCGCTTGTTTACTCCGTCGGCGGGTCGCTCGATCCGCGCGCTGTCCTTAACCCTGGTGCTCAATCGACGGAACAGTGCGATTCGCTTCGAGCAATCCCCGTCGCTTTCACCGCATGTATGGGCCTCTATATGGGGCCCGGTTATGGCACTTGAGACTCGTACGCGAGTGTGACTGAACTCGCTCGTCTGGATGGAGACGCTGCCATTACGTAGCCACGCTTTCGAAAGATTCCATAAAGCTACTCGATAATCCAAGCGAGCGGCTCTCCTCGGAGTTATCGAGGAAGCACGCCTCGGAGGTGAAGCACGGGCTCCTCCGCAGGGAGGTTGAGAAGCGTCGTCGGCGACCCTAGTTCGCCGGCTCAAATGTTCAATGACCGGCTGGCGTGTCTCATCCGGTCGAGTCTACTTCTCCAAATACTGAACATTAAGGCCTCAAACAATGCCAAAGATCATTAGGCCCACTCCGGTTGGAGGATCGAAACTCTAGCGCGATAGATCAATAGCAACTCGGTTGATCGCGATGAAAGCACAGCTACACGTGGGTGGTTCGGACTTTCTATAACTATGCGTTGACCGTCAGAGCTTGAAGCGAATCCCGAGTTTGAACATGCGAGCCTACGCGCCGAGCGAATCCTCTCCGATAACTCCCAAGGAGGCAAAATGCGGGAATATCCGCCGTGAACGATCGAGTCGATATTTCGCCTCGAAATGGTTCCGATGCGTGGATTCCTCTGAATGAGATCGATCCGCGGTACGGCCTCATCCGGGAGTCGAGAACAGGGTGTCATTGTCAGAACCATCTCAACTAATCGAACAACGCGAACATGAGAATGTGACAGAGTAACAATGCTCGGCTCTATCTGAGTCCAGCGGCGATGTGGGTGGTTGTGGTCAATCCAGGCACCACTGCTGTGGGTCGCGGGCGTCTGGGACAGGTGGTCGCAATCAATGGGTGATTTCCCTCGGAAACTATCGAAGAGAATCGCTCTTGAACAAGTGCGCCTGTTGGTTGATTGTTTAAACACAATGGAGCGTGATGGCTGTTTCAGTTTGAGAAAAAATTCTCCCTCTCCCGGTACGCCTCCCGATACACGACGGTCTCGAGAGAATCATCGATACGCTGATGAGACCTATCAATGATCGTTTAATCTTCTTCGCGCTTGGTCAATGATCGAATAGAACGGTTTCCGACCGGCCTAAAACAATAAGATCCATGGGCGAAGCTCGGTCAAGGAGAAATTGGTTGGTGGGAAAATTCCCTTAGGATCGAGCGCTCTGACAAACACAGATAGATCTGTCTCCCCACGAGGAGAGTCGAACAAACTTCCCGATTCAGTCAACGTCCAGAAACTCGTAATTCGTTCACGGCTCAGGAAGGAGCAGATCGAGCCTGCGAGCGTCATTCACAAGAAGCCGGCCTGACACCGTAATTAAGCCTCGATCGAGAGGTGCCGATCATTCAAAATTAAGCCGCACTTATCGCAAGAGTCTGAGTGGGCATGGTGAATGTTTGGCCAGATAAGCTCGCGTCTATCAGATAGCTATCAATCATGGAGGATGGGGAAAGATCACTCCTGATCTTTACGGATCACAATCCCCCGAAGGTACAATAGCAAGCGAGGTGAGTCCCGGTCAATCGACGGTCTGCTCGGCGTTTCACGGAGTCGCCACAATGCCATGCGTCCGCACCGCGTGCGGTAAACGTCTTGTCTTAATTGAAGCTCCATGAAATTTATGCGCTCATCTCCACGGTATGAACGCTGTACGAATTCATGGCCCCGGGCTTGGTCCGTATTGGATTACTTCTCTTTCGGGTACCCGCATACTGTTCGTGTGTACTACAGTATTATCCGAGCGATAGGGCTAGATGACCACGTTTCTATCCGTCTCATGTGTCGAGCTTCTCCCGTCGTAAACATTCCACTCGCTCTCTGGCCCGCCCGGTTCTAAATCCAGCTGATCGCGATGGGAAACATCTGGGAATGTGACTCTTGATCGAGGGGGACCTCCGTAGAGAACAGCGAGCTTTCGGTCAGGAGGGCAGAGCGCCTAATCCGATTGTTGAATGGTGCAATCGCCTCACGACATTTTCCCATCGTGGGTGGGGCGGAGCAATCTTACGATTCGCTCAGATGCACGTCACACAGTAAATTATCACTTTCATCCATGTTAGCACCGTTACAATAACAAGGCTGTCCCCGATTCTTCAAACGAATTCGAGAGTTCTGGCACTTTTTGATCCCTCCGCAATCAGATCGCGTTCGTCCGTGGTTCATGGAAAAACGACGAAATTCTCAGCGCAAATTAATTCCGCGAGATCGCGGACCTTATATGACTGACTTAACATCGAGTATGACATCGAGCCAAATAGACGACATGGCAGGTGATGCGGGGAAGCGGCGGCCTTAGCGAGTCGCTCTTTCTCGTCCGCACCGACCAGCTTCTCCTACATGTCACGAAGTCTATCGAAGGTTTTCCTCCGCTCATCGTCATTTTTGTAGCACCTAGCGCACAACAAACCATGCATCCGAGTCAGGCTCTTCCTAGATTGAGACGTATGGACGACGATCGTGATTCCAAAGTGAGGCTCGAAGACAATCATTATTGGACAGCTTCTTCTCTTGATCTTGAAGCGAATCGTCGCTTCTCGTAACAAAGTGGGCATCCAACGTCTTCGATGGAATACGTTTCTAGATAGGAGAAGCCTGGTCTACTTCACGTGATTCGAGTTGAGTGGCAGAACCTGAGACACATTCGGAATATGAAACGAAGCGTTGGCTCGCTCGACAGAATACCGTAGGTGGTGGGTGGCGATGCACTGGGACTCGCGCAAGATATCTCAACCCACGCGGAGCAACTAATTTGTGTATCCCAAAGTATCTCGGGTGAAGAGATCTGACCTCAGAAATGTCTCCAGCTTTTTGAAGGGTCCGACAGCGAGCGAGCAAGGGGACGGTCATTTCGATTATCTTTCTGAACAAGTCGTCAGTGATAGAGAAATCTCTCTGTTCCGAAAGCTCTTTCATGTCTCCTCGGTGTCGTGTCCACATGAGATTAACCAAGGCCGGGTAGTCGTAGTGGGACGCTTGTCTCCGCATTGTAACAGACGAGAAAACCATTCGCGGACTTATCATGTGCCTCTTGACCAACTCACCTGAGACTCTATGACTCTGCCCCACGACTGTGGCCGACAACATGCGCGGAACACTGTTTTCTTACATTCCGCTGGCATCAGTCGGGAGATCTCTCCCGCCTGCTCTCTTCTCAGTTTCTGGTCCTTCAAGTAAACTGAGCGTCGGAGTCACCAGATCTCAGCTCGTGACCCTTCTCGGCAGAGTTTTTACGCCCGAGTTTTTCCCAAGGCGTAGCTGTCCCGATTTTCAGCGTGCGAAATTTCTCTTATCTAGCTTTGATGCCAAGTGACACAATATCCGAGATGCACGTGTTTACAGAGGAAAGACACATTTCTTTCTCGAAGCAAACGTTTGGATATTCCTCTCATCAATTCGATGCTCTCATCTCGGCCGGGAAACGTTGGTCCGTGAACCGTCGAACTCCCCACTCGCTGACCATAACTAAGCACAGCCGGAATGTCGCGGCTTGCGCTCGATAGGCAAATGACACCCGATGGCGAGCCGGTATAGCTTCGATTAATTCAAGGGTGGTCGGTGGTCATACGATCCGAGCTAATGGAGGGGTAAACAAATGACCACGATCTCTCACTTATTTACAAAACGAGACTGGTCGACTGAGACCGTGGAACG